GTCCCCAGTTGCTTCTGTGTCTATTGCAGTTCACTGTTGTCCTTGAAGTGATTCTTTCTCTATTATTTTACCATCTCCCTTCCACTATCAACCAACCACTTCCTCTTCTATGAACAGAAGATTTTTCCAGAGGAAAAAGTTGCCCAACTTATTGAATTCTTTTTGTTGCCCAATATTTACACATCTAGATTACCAAAGCATTGCACAGCAAGAAGTACAACTCTACATTTCACCAGGAGACACTGTGTTTAGACCCAAAAATGGAATAGGAAATTTTCAGTAATAGGAAGGAAATTTCTTCTACACACTCCTTCCTAATTTATAACATTCTGTGAACTTAAAAATAAATCAGTATATTGTGGTTCCAGAAAATTGGATTTAAAGGGATTTAAAAGACATTTATTTCATATTCTGTTCTTTGTAACAATGAAACAAACTTAATGGGATATAAGGCTTTGCTCTACAGAATAGAGGAAGTCCATAACCAAACCGAGTCTGAGAAATCAGGATTCCAGATTCTAAGGGCTATATGCTTTCCTCTCTGTAAGAATTACTTCTTCAGTTCATTAGGTGAATGTCTCCAATACAGTGACCAGGCCCCATTTACAAATGGTCTTACTAATAGGCTAAACATTTGGCAACCTCCCCTAGAAATACAATTACAAGTAGCGAGAGCCTCAGATCATTATATAAAAGTCTACTTCAATTATAGGTTCTCAGATAAGCAGCGATATCCCGTAACTGGAAGGAGAGGCACGGTCTTAGGGTGAGGAGGAAGTTAAGTGAAAGGAGACATTACCAGCTTTTTATCATGTCTATAGATTCCCCAGAACATTGGACACATTAGTGTCTGTGTAGCCACAACCACGCTCTATCAATTCATATCATGATTAGTCTTATAGTCACATTTGCTTTGGATTTTAAGAAATAAAGTAAAAATTACAACTATTAAAAATACATTTTCTAATGACCTTGGGTAATGGGTAAAGTGAGTCTAGATTTGGACGTGGGAAGCCTCGTGAGTTTCTGTGGACTGTATCCTTTCCCTTTTATAGTCACCTACCTCTGTTCTCTCTCAGACCAGGTTTTCCCTTCTCCCTGGCTCATTACTGAACAGCTTGTCTGTTACTCTCTTCTTCCTCAAGCAGCATGCATTCTGTTGAAAGTTTCTTAAGGCCCATTTACTGCTTGTAACAACAGGAAAGGGCTCTTTGCTATGTCTTCCCTAACACCTTCTTTCAATTAGATCCTGTAGGAAAGACAGAAATCGCTGATGGTATCAGGTGCTCAGGACACCCAAGTTTCCCTCTACATTAATAATGACACAAAAGCCTTAATTATCATACGCTTATCTGTGACAATTATTATAATAAAAGAGCCTATACACTTATCAGAAATAATTCTGCTCTTATAAAGATAATGTAAAGAGATTACAAAAGTCTTATTTTCTTTTTGGTTGAACTCTCGGAGAGTGTGTCTGTGTAACAGAGGAATCTTGTTATTATAAGCAATCTCTATCTTCCTAAACTGCTTTTGATAATGCAAAGACCAAGCAGTTGCCTCTGAGACTGTGCAAAAATTTATGACCAATCTGTTTCCTTAAGCTTTGTGTCACCTCCATTTCCATGTGAACTGAGGATAATATTAACAGCTAATAGATGTTGTAAATAAACACCCTTCTAAAGTGGAAATCTATAAATTGACTATAAAGAAGGAAATCCAATTATCATTAAGTCATTTTCTTTACGAAACAGATGTCAGAAAAGGGGAAAAGGTGAATTTCAAATTTCACAGGCTAGGTTCTAGTAAGAACGTTTTAAAAATTTAAATCTTAAGAGAAGCTAGAACAATCCAACTTTGAGTGAGACTAGGAGCAAAAGTTTAGTTATGATTTTTTTCTTTGATATTATTTTGATCATAAGAATATTATAAATTCATTATGGAAATTCTGATGAGTACAGAAAAACAAACAGGTGAGAGCCAAGCTAACATATCAACTAGAAGCAAATATTATTTATATTCAGGAATAACTCCCTATGCATTTTTCCCTATATTGTCTATAGCTAAAATCATACAGTACATAGTTTTATATACTGCTTGATTATTATATCCATACTTGTCTATGTCATTAAATAAATTAGCAAGTATAAATTTTAATGGCTACCCAATATTCTGTGACAGCATTCCATTAATTTGTTCTACCATTCTCTTTCTGTTGAATTTTTTAAGATGTGTCTTCTCATATATTACATACATAAAATATTTTCATTAACTGCTTTAGGCATAATGTGATTACATTTTGGATTATTTCCTTTGGACAGGTTCCCCAATGCAGAGTAATCTGAACTAAATAAACACCTTTATTAAGGATCTTCTTATATACACAGCACTTAATCATTTTTCCAGGACAACTGTGCCAAACTGCATTTCCATCAGCAATGTCTAAGAAGAAATTTTTGCCCTACTCTCACCAAACTAGGTATCAACAAGGTGTACAGTCACTGAGGACAGGAGTCTAAGTGTTGCTGTTTTACTATGAATATTTATAAGTTGGGTAAATGGTGATTCTGCATTTGTCTGGACATGGGGGAAAGCACTGACTGGAGAAGTAGCGGGAAGTGCAACACCCGGGCAGTGGTGAAGTGGGATGAACACACTGGACAGTGTGGGAGCCGTCCCCTTCCCTGAGTGCTAAGGAAACTCCACGACTTCAGAGGCCTCCTAAGACTTCATAATAGATTGCACCCTCACAAGAAATTCCTGGTAGATGCCAGGTCAGTGGATCTAATCTTAGTTTAACCGTAAGAGCACTGGTTTGGGGTATTTTTATTTGAGAAAAATTACCAGAATTAAGGGGAAACCTGACTCACTGCAAATCTTCAGATATGTGAATATTTTGTTTTTCAGTTACTGTTATGATATATGACAGTAAATCTGAGCAAAAAAAATATAAAGAGCAAACAGGCAACTGGATTTCAGATTTTTATTCATAGTCTGAAGAAATTCATTAAAGTGCTGTCAACATACGGGAGATTTATGAGCTATTTCTAAATGCTCTCTGGAATTCTCTAATTACATAAAAGCATACCAATTGTATTGATAAGCCTTCACAATTTATGTCTGTTGAGAAATCCAAAATATTTTGGTTTCATTTAAAATGACAAGACACTACCTTTGCCCGTCATATTTCCTCATCAGACGATATGATTCAAAAATTGAAAATAATACTCCTTTTTCTACATCATGTACTTTTACCTCATTCAGTGCCCTCAATATTACCATCCTCAATATGCCTGACTTATAAAGTTCAATGTATGCCTTAACTGTCAATGTCACAGTAAAACGTATATATAAATTTATGAATATTCTGAACTATTTCTAGACACTCAGCTGGAATTCCAAGGGTATTTTATAAATGTTGCAAGGTTCTTGTCACATGTGCTCACTGGACAACGAATAGCATTTTCCCCACTGATGAAGAGGGAGAGGGAATGAGGAATAAAATCATGGAGAAGGAAAAAGAATTTTTGCGACTTACACGAACTACACAGAAAAATTCAAGAGGAGCTTTGTCTCTGTTTTGAGAAAGACTCAAATGCAAAGAATAAATACTTTAAAGTCTAACCTGGGCAAAATTCCGCTACTAACTCCTATGAGAGGTATCACTGTTTAGTTTTCACAACTTAATTCTTCTTTGTAGTTTGAGAAGCAGAAGATCTCACGGATTAAAGAGTTGCTAACTCATTTTTTAAGGATCAGATGTTTAAATGACGAGCAGGTAAACAGAAGAGAAAGAAAAGCTGTGGCCCTAACCCCGTTAACACTGGTTTGGGGAATAATACACGGGTAGGGTCATGGGCTGTGGCACAGATGTCAGGAGCTAATCCTATTTCTGTCACTTTCTGTGCAGTGAAGGAGTTAGCGTCTCAGAGGTCCAGGGTCTCTACACCAGGGAGATTATGTATTTCCCTAGTACTGATACTGGGTACCTGGTACACTATACACCCTCAACAAACCTGTCTTATTACTACTGCCAAACTCATTACCATAAGGCCGTCTCCTCCTCCTCTTCTTCATCCCCAAAGGAGAGAAATCAACTATAAACTCAAAACTCTCAGGTTCCTCCGTTTAGAATGTTGTTTTCTCCAGATCGTCATGGTGGCTCCTTCCTATCCTTCTGACTGTGGCTCCAACTTGACCTACATTTGTCCTCATCATCCACCACCCTCTCCTCTACCCAGTTTTCATGATTGTATTTTTTTCACAGCACTCACCACTATCTGCAATTATCCTGTGAAGTGAACTTGTTTAAAGTTTTACCACATTAGCATGTAAGATTCATGGAAGCAGGGACCTTGTCTGATTTGTTCATTGCTAAACCCCCCAGAGATAAGAACACAGCCTGGCATGTAACAGACGCTCAACATGTATTTGTTGGATTAGGGAGTGAATCACAGAGACCAAATGTGTGAATGGGAAGTCTGACCAGATAATAGAGGAAAGTTCACCATAACTAAGTCTTCAGGGTTAAACTCTGGGGTAGTATTACTCTACTAGATATAAAACTTTAGAAACGTAAACTATTTTATAAAACATAAAACTTTAGACAGCAGAAACTCAACATAAGTGCTTGAGTTGTTATCTGAATTTCAGTTAAGCCTAAATAATATATCATATTACTACTTTCTACTTGACTAGAGGAAATAATGAGAGAAAAATTAAAAAATCACTATGGATAATCATAATACCAAGTTCAGCCAAAGAAGTAAGACAGAGAAGTTCGCAGTGATTTAGAAATTATAGCAATTGTGGCCATCACATAGCAGACACTTAAAAAAACTTATTGAAATATGATTGTGCACGTAAATGCATCAACATAAATAATATTTATAACACCAAGGTGACACTCTCTTCTGCTGATCCTTTCTAACTCTAGCCTTCTGGCTAGAATGAAAAACAGAAGCATTTAAAATAAAGAGCTATGAAAAAAAAATTCTTCTGTGCTTGCTTCAGCAGCACATGTACTAAAATCGGAACGATAAGAGAAGATTAGCATGGTCCCTGCGCAAGGATGACAAGCAAGTTTGTGAAGCATTCCATATTAAAAAAAAAAATTCTTCTGTGCCTGTTCCATTAACGCTCTTGGATTTCATTGTTTTGCAAGGCCCTAGACCAGGCATCCTTAAACTACGGCCCATGGGCCACATGCAGCCCACCTAGGACATTTATCCGGCCCGCTGGGTGTTTTTGCTGCTGCTGCCTGTCCTCTTAGCAGCTGACTCGTCCCAGGGCCCGCAGTCCGGCCCGCCAACGGTCTCAGGGACAGTGAACTGGCCCCCTGTTTAAAAAGTTTGAGACCCCTGCCCTAGACTCTCAATTTGCGCTGCTTTATTTAGAGGAATCAGATACTTCAAATTAAAATAAAGATCAATTGTTAAGTTAAAAACAGTGTTCTAGAGGCTTATGTTTATTTTAGTATCAATGTAAATGAATTTTTACCTAAATTGTAAGACTGCCAGCTGTTTGCTTTCAAAATCTAAACCAATGAGGGCCTACTCAGGCGTACCAGCAGACCTCTCTTGGAAAAAACATTTCGTTATGTAGCAGATATGGATATGGATTCAGTTATTAAAATTGTTAACCCTGAGATCTGTCAATGCACTATTCTGTAAAATGTTTTAAAGAAAAATAACTTAAAAAATGCATAAGCAATACATCTGTCATAAAATAACACACGAAAACTTTTCAAATAAAATTTTTAGAGGATTCATGTTAGATGGCCACTAATTTCCAGACCATAAAAAATGTTAACCAAACCATATTTCAGGAAATCAAATGATAGTTTCATACATTAGTTAACACGTAATTTCTGAAGGAAATCCAACACAAACGCACATCACCACAACCAAATGCACTACATTAAAATAAACAGCTCTGCATATGTGTATAGTTGCATTAAATCCAACTAATTAGCTGATATGCATTTTGTTTACATTTCTACTGCCAACTCTAATCATCTAACTTCTTACAGCTCTAGAATCATGAATGTTTGTCCAACAATCATATATTTAAATTTCATTCCGCATGAATATTTTCCTCTGCTTTTTGTTTAAACAGCGACCTTTGTTCAGTACATACTTTCATGTAAATTTATGAATTTTACATAAACATTGTTTATATCTTCACACATTTAAAGATAAGTTAGCTGATGCTTATTCATTTATTTTTTTGGCTGGGGCTGGGTTTGAACCCTCCACCTCTGGCATATGGGACTAACACCCTACCACCTTGAGCCACAGGCACCACAGGCACCGCCCTGATGCTTATATATATATACATATATATATATA